ACGACGTCGAACACAAACGAAGAAACACTCATCACTGTCACCAGGCTGCCCCTTTCTTTCCCTTTTTTCTTTTTTTTTTTTTTTCTTTTCCGTCGGCTAGTCGATTTCTCGTAAATATGCGTACGCACACGGTGGATGAGTCCAGGAGCGGCGCGCGTTCGTATATATATATATATATATGTGTATGTATATATATATATATATGTTCGAGGGGAGAAAAAAGGAGAACGAATTTTCTTCGAACGTCTCTCCCCCGTTCCGTCTGCGCCTCGTCGTCCTTTAACCCGCGAGAAGTGAGAAACACTTTTGGAACACGGTCCGGACACGAACGATTACGGCACTGAATTCCTTCGCACGATGATAAACTCGCGACACACTGGATTCGCCAAGAGTGCCCACAGCTGTGTGGGCCGTGCAGGCAGTGCCGAGAGCTGGAGAGGAGAGCACCGCGGCGGCTCCTGGCTCGCTACCGATATTAACCTCGCCTCGTAGCGATTCGATGCAGCCGAGTTTCTTGACTGAGCCGCCGATGCTCGCCGAGCCGTGCCCCGTGAGACGACACTGCTGCCACACGCCGCGCGCAGCCACGCGCAAAGTTACTAGACTCGCCGCGGAGGCGTTGCGAGTCGACCTCAGCAGCTCGCTCTTTTTCAAATTCAACGTTGATTCTTTTTTGTCTAGCATTTGAAGGAACTAAGGGAAATAAATGGCAGATATTGTACCGAAAAAATCGTAATAATTAAAACACTAGCGATTTCTACTTCCGATCATTTATATTCTACGTGGTTTTATGTGGCGTTAATTAATTCTTCAATTGAAATTTATTTGACAAATAACAAATAATGTGCGCGTGCAGTTTGCAATGATAAATGAATTTATGATAAATAAATTTATAAATAAGAAAGAAGGCCTTTTGCTATAAATTCATGTAACGAGTGAAATTTTTTAGATTTTTTAGTTCCTTTACACTTTGTTGCACTACAAGTTTGCATTTGTGTTTCTTTGTTATACTAACTTGCGTTTATTTTAAAGCTGCGTAAGTTGTCATTATAAAAACTCATTTGGAAATTTAGTCGAGTTAGTGAGTTGTTAAATTTAATATGCTGCATGATGAAACAATATTTTCGAGGTTCAAGTGGAACAAAGTAAAGGAACGCGATTGTTCGATAGAGAAGAGGATCACATTCTCTCTCGTACCGTGCTTTTCCTTCGCGTTAGAAGAGATCGCGATTACTTCTTTAATTAATCTAACGAGCCATTCTTGCCGAGAAACGTAATTACATCACACGTAATCACGTTGGAAGTGATCTTCTACCTTTCCATTCAACTCGATATTCAACCGCATTCGTTCGACTAGTTTCTAAAATAGAAAGAACGACGTGACGACGACGAATTATTAAATAAGCGCGTTTGCACGAAAGGAATATTCCATTCTTCAAAATGAAAGAAAAAGAAAGGGAAGAATACGTTCGACTCTTCCCCTCCGATAGCAAAGCAACCGTCTAGTTTAATTTTTCCTCTCTCGCTTAGGGGAATTTCTCGGCGTTCACGTTGGCAACGGCGACACCGTGCATTGGCCATCCGCCGAAGTGGCGAGCTCTGATTGGCCGGCGTGTCGCTCGTTTTTAATGGCGAGGCTGGCGCGGCTCGATGGTGGGGGAGGTGCTAGTTTCAGAACGTTCAACCGTGGTCGTCGAACGGCTGGTTGGTTTTTCATGAGAGCCCTAACCTGTCGGTTGTGTTACGTCTGGTTCGCGCTTCAGCTGGAGGTTAGCTCCGTCGTGCGTTCGCGGACGCGTGATCGCGTCACGACGTGAATTACGCTTTTCTATCGCTGTCGGAGACGTGAGTATAGCGGGGGACAACGCTCGAGGACGCGGATGGCGATGACGAAGAGCTGAGAACACGGTGGCCGAGTTTCGTGCATGAGGTAGGCACAGCTTTTCGATGTGCGATCGCTGGTATACGCGTTTGCCTTGTCGCGTGAAAATTTGGACTGGATCGGTGCTGGCTCGAACGATTGATTTTTCGATGTCGAGCGTGAAGTGTCTACCTGCGAGCCGACAAAGGGAATTACGAGATTATCAGTTCACGATGTGATTGGGCCGTTTGATATTTCTTTTATTTTCTATGACCTCGCGACAGTTTGTTCGTTTTTTTTTTTTTTTTTTTTTTCATATTTGGCGAATACGTTATTTGAGCTTATGCTCACAGCATTGTTATTGGAGTGAAGAAGAAACGAAGAGTGTTTCTGTTGTGTGAAATATTGAAACATGATTATATTACAATAAACACATCCTGCGCGTAACCGGCATAATTTTTTCATAGTTTATGGTTCTGTATTTATTTGCAGGCAATTTGTTAATTTATTAATTTGATTTAATTAAATTGAAATTGAAATTCAAATAATGATTTACAAATTACGTGCGGCTGTTCGGATCCTGAAATGACCCAATCATTATTGAATTCATCAACCACCGAGTTTGAAATTCGATAACATGTAAACACAAAAATCAATGTCGAATTGCAAACGTTCGACTAGAGTGTTCAAAAAGGAATTGCCTAAAATTATAAATCTGCATCGGTGAACAAAGTACATATTTGTTATATAGGTAATTAACCTTTTAAATATAAACACATTTCTGAGCATTGATAAATGTGTTTTTTTTTCGCCACGACGCGAATTATGATTAATGCACAGAAAGGGGACTGTTGATAAAATAATGTGCCGTTAGCTGTTCGCATAATATTCGATAAAAAAAATTAGCATTTCACGGGCAGATATTTATTTGCCATTTATCACTCTTTTTTTTTTCTCTCTCTCTCTACGTGACGATTAATCGTTCGATAAACTTCCGAAAGTGTTCAAATCTCTAATGAAATTGTTTTTATATAGATTATCTACTGAACGTGTGACCGATAATTGGAAATTTGCGGTGAAGTTTATTCGACGCTGTTGCGTTACACAGCGAACATTCGACGAAGGATAAATACTGTCGTTGAATGCGTGACGATCTGCAGCTGGTCAGTAAAAGGTTAACGATACATCTCTGTGTGTAAGATCGTATACGTGCACGTAAACGTGTACGTGCGAAACACTTGAAAATTACACGGTTGGTTACGCTTCTTCGGTGCGAGTAGTAATTCCAAACTTTCAATCGACGTCGCGACGTGAAGACGCAAACACGTTCAGGAGGGAAATTAAATTTGGGAAGAAGTTCATTGTCCTCGTTCCAATTTTCATAGAGAATTGAAATCACATTCGAACGATTTAGCCACCTGAAATGAGTCATTTCTTTGCCGAATTATTACACCTTTGTTTCAAATTGTTTAATTCCCTCGAACCAATCGCCTTCGGAAATATTTCTGAAATATTTTTTCCATTCCAATCATTTCGGCTGGCTGAAAATTGGTAAATTGAAAAGAGAGATACAAAGTTAAATTGGCATAGCGCTCTCTGCTTAACCTTCTTCCGCCTTTGTAGAAAGCGCGCAGATGCCGGATTTACGAGAGCTGTGCGCTGCATATAGAGCTCGTTGAAATATTAACCTCGCCTTGAATGTTTAAGCTGCAACTCTATCTTCGCTTCGAAAGTCTGAATTTAAACTTCGCTTGTTGAACTTTGATGCCCTTATCTGACCGTCTAATCAGACCGTATTTCCAGATTTATTTTTAGCATTTATTTTTTCCCGATTCGACGTTTCTTTTTCTTTCTAAAAACTGTTTACCTGCCGATTTTTCATTTGTAAACGAAATCAGACCCGAAAGTTTCATCGCTGCAACCTGTTCATTCTGTCGCGGTTCGAATTTCCAATCCGGCGAGCAGAATCTTCGAAAAGAGGCTGGTTCGCGCCATGTCGTTCACCGGGAAACCGGTTTCGACGGCGGCCTTCCAAGAATCTCATCGTCTTCTGTCGACGATAGAATTATTTCATTTTTGCAATTTTTCTCGTCGCATGTTTTACGAACGAGATTCGGAGTCGGATTTCCGCAGATAAACACGTCACCGCTTTATCTCAGCTCGTATAATCGACTTTTGTTCCGCGTATAATTGCGTGAAAATTATTTATAACCCGGTTGGAGCCGATGCTGGAAAGAATCTCTCCGATAATTAAGTAGAATTTAATCGTAATTCGCTGTTGAAACAATTCCAGACATACACACACACACACACACACACACAGAGGTACAAGCGGACTCGGGTTCTACACACACACGTGAAAGTAGAATCTATCGCGCGTGCTCGAAAGTGTCAGTGAACTCAGAATTCAGCCGCTAGGTAGCCTACACTCCACCCCTCGTGCATTTTTCCTCTCACGTATATATACGTGTATACGTGTGTGTGTGTGCACATAGCACGCGAGAGTATAGTCTCTCCTCCGGGCAAATATCCTCGATAATTCGCGCGGCCAGCAAGGACGGTGCAAACTGTGGCGGTGGACGAGCCATGCGAGACGGATGTAATTTCCGTTCTCGCAGAGTCGGCCGAAGTGCAACGATAAAAGCGGACTATCGTAATTACCGGTGTCCAGTTTCAGACGTTTGCCTACTGCTCACGTTACCCTTACATCGTACGCCGATCAAAAGTCGCTGTGGCGCGCCCTCGCCCTGTTTGTTTTGCCCAGGTTATAAACACGTTAATGGCACGACGATAAATCACTTTTGAGTTTTAGGTGCTGCGCGGCAAATGGATTGATTGCCTCCACCACCCAGACAGAAAGCACGGGAAATGTGTTATTTTTCCTCTTATTAGTCTCCATGGATTTCACCATCTTCGAAATTATCCGAATTAGTC